GACCTGTGGAAGAGCAGTCAGTGTTCTTAACCGCTGAGCCATCTCTCCAGCCCCGAGAGAGGTTTACATTGTCATCAAGTTATTCAGGGTCAAGTCCAGGGCAAGACAGACTTTACTAGAGGAAATCACTCTGATCTTGGTTAATTTCTGCTCTACTAGGAGTGTGAGGGCCAGTCTGGTGATTTCCTAAAGGGACCCATGTCTTAGGTTGTCTTCTTGTGTCCTGCGGTAGGTAGGCTACACCATTCGATTTGAGGATTGCACCAGCCCAGAAACAGTCATCAAGTATATGACCGATGGCATGCTGCTGAGAGAGTGCCTGATTGACCCTGACCTCACCCAGTACGCTATCATCATGTTGGACGAGGCTCACGAGAGGACCATTCACACGGATGTGCTCTTCGGATTGTTAAAGAAGGTGAGTGGGAAACACGCTGTCTGGGAATACAATTTGAATACCCCGTGACACTTTGCATAGTCTGTTTTAGTAAGCCACCTTACACTTCCCTTCAGACAGTTCAAAAACGACAAGACATGAAGCTGATTGTCACCTCAGCCACCTTGGATGCGGTGAAGTTTTCTCAGTACTTCTATGAAGCTCCCATCTTCACCATCCCTGGTCGGACCTATCCAGTGGAAATACTGTACACAAAGGAGCCCGAGACAGACTATTTGGACGCCAGCCTGATCACTGTTATGCAGATCCATTTAACAGAGCCACCAGGTGAGGGGAGTGGAAGGCTTTTGTCTTAGGCCAAAAATCCTACTGGGTGTATTTTTGGCTAGTCTTGTAAGAAACACATTTTAAATATTGTTCTCTTTGTAAGTCTCAGGCATGCATATTTGGAATAAAATATTATTCCAAATTAAAATAGTGATATAATAGTTTAAAAAAGTGATATAAGGTTTAAATGCACTTAATTAAATGTAGACAGATGATAACCTCTTGGTTTATTTTTGTGATTTTTTTTTCTTTTTAGTTTTTCGAGACAGGGTTTCTCTATGTAGCTTTGGAGGCTATCCTGGCA